CGTGCAAATTTTGTGATCAGCACCACTAATTTAAACGTTTATCTATATCACGACTATTATTTACGATTATATAACAAGTCATATAAATAAATTTCAATATATTATTTTATTAGAATATGTATTTATATATATGTATATATTTCTGTCTTTGATACAATAATTAGTATAATACATAAATACTTATTAGGACATTTTACTATAATTATCGACTTAATAAAAAATAAAAATAAATAAGACCTAAAACATCGGCAATTCTCTGCGAAAATATAGGATTTTTTAAATAATGTAAAAATTAAAATTTATTTCTTTATATTTAGTTAACGTGATAGGTAACGATTATAACTCAAGATTATAAGTAAAATAATCGGTCTTAGAACATATCGATAATAATAGACAAATCGTTATCAAGTGCATGAACTGTGTACGTGTAATAACGATTACAGAACAAAATTTTTGATTCAGCAGAAGCAGATAAAATGTCGCTCAATAATAAGCAATTTATGTCACACAGCTTCTTGTGACGACACGCGGTACGTGAAGCATTTCATCATCAGTATGCTCTTGCGCGGTCATATCGAAGATATTTTTAGAAAGCTAAAACTCCCCTTCGTTCTCTCTCTTTGCGCTTATCGCACTCGGTAAACGGTTATTATACCATTCACGCGCTTTTCTGCGTGTATTTTTGCGCGATTCACGAAATTTCTTGCTCTCGTTCGACGAGATTCTCGTCTATTGTTCGCGATTAAAGATTCCGATGTGACGCGTTCCCGTGTATACAAAAACAATTACATACGCACGTAATCTCATTGTCTCGCAATGTCGTCGCCATGTGTTTTCGTAACATCGTAACGATTGATTCGATAAATAGAAATCGTCAGGTGTACAAACGGTCTATACGCGAACGTACCTTTGCCGGATAAACGCGTCGCTTACAAAACGATCGCAATGTTTTGCGCAACAAAAACAACAGCGGAAGTAGAAAACTGAAGTTAGAATTTTTCAAAATTTATTTTTCAAGACTGCAAGTGTGTTTTATATTTTTATTCGAATTAAAAAATATTTTTCTTACATGTTATGATATTGTAAAACACACATGTGACGGTGTATGAACCCTTTTATATTCATTTGCAAGTAGGAATTTATTATTATCGGCAATACAACACGCGCTTTCGGATCGTTTCGGCGTACAGTCACGTGACTTGTGTCACATCAAGAGACAACCTTCTTCTACATAACAACATAGGTATCATTATAGCCGTAAAGCCATGTTTACGACTGTCAATCGCGCTTACCGTACGTGCTTAGGAAGCAAAGTGCCTCGCTCTCTCGACGAAACTGAGCAAACAGCGCGTTAAGTCTTCTTAACTTTGACTCGCGTACATATGATTACATTCAGCAGAGACTCTAGATTTGCAAACAATTAGAGTGCAAATGAGCACCTTAGCGGCATAAGCGTGTTTCTTGCCGAATACGTCAAACGTTTTTACCGTTCGCGCATTCACAGCGCGCTAGGAATGCGCGAACGATTTCGATTTAGTTCACAATTCGTTTTGCGAAGCAATTTTTCGAAAAAAAAATCATTGAGCTTCTTTTTTACGTATGTTTAATTACAGAATATTCTATTTTGCGTCGTGAAACGCAAATGTGACACCGTATTCAAAGTGTCGAAATTGAAAACCTCTCTTCAGAAGAATTTTGTCATAAATTGTTAATTTTTTTATTGCCAATCATTTATATAATATAAAAGTAGCGATTACACGTGCAAGAAGTATTTTGATCAAACTTGACATCTTTAGTTTTTTTTCTTTTTATTTGCGGACTTGCTATTTTCTTCCGTTTACAGTCTCGACAAAAAGTCTGAGGAAACAAGAATTCATGTGAATTTTCGCTTTTATTCGTTACAACATTTTGCTGCGACAGATATACTTACCGCGATTGCACGTGCTCATAAAACGGCGCGAGTAAATAATGAGAAGCGATAATGAGAAACGTTCACGTTCCAAAGAAAGTACGTAGTCTTCTCGCTTGCGATAACTTGCAAAAAAAAAATGCGCACGACTGAATTCATTTTTCTCGAATTCGGAGAATTTGTTAACATCGAGAAAAGAGATCACATCATTTTTTCCTATTTCCGATTATCGACAGCGTAGATATGCGAGATGATTCAGATGCAAAAATAACAACGATCAGATGACTTGTAAAATCGAATGTCAGATGATCGTCCGATTAGCAAACATCGATACAATTCTTGATTTTTTTTTGTAATTATCGAGAATCGTGACCATTGAAAAATGATACCTATTTTTTTGTTGTTTACGGTAGGTGTCGTGTGTGTGCGTGCACACAAGTACAGGTAGCAACAATGACGTAGATGGCGGCGCGGCGATTGACTGTTAAACAACCATTATCTTATCTCACTTTTGTGAGTGTCAATATTCGGCGCTTGTCATGTATGCTATATTTGTACTCCACTTCGGGAGATATATTAATGCATATTACACACGTGAATCTCGGTTTATTTCGTATCTTTCTCGCTTCGCGACATCGATGAATATTTTTGTTCTCGATGTAATTTTGCACACAAGCAAAATTATATTTTTTTACTCACTTCGAGATTGAAGAAAAGATATTACCGTTGTTATATCTCAAACGAGTTATTACTTTTTTAAGTTTACACACATTTCTAATTCAATTTTCGACATAAAATTGTAACTTGGAAAAATATTGACAAAAAACTAAAAATATTAATTTATTTTGACAAATTAAACTTTAATGTTGCGTTCGCGTCTCCGAATAGTTTACGTAGGCGAGATAAAAAAGTAAATTTAATTTAATACTTAAATAACGACGTCTAAAATCTTCGAATTTTCCGTTATCTCTGATTGGGCTCGTTCCCGAGAGGACATTTTAACGAGAACTCGCTCGAGAGAATCGAGCTTCGCTTACCGGTTAAGTTAACCGTGTCGATAGAAATCAGGCTAAATGACAGAGCAACGTCGGTCGTCGCGATCGAACGTGTCGAATCGCGGCGACGAGTTTATTTTCAGCCTAAGCGCACATATCTTATGTAAAGTAACCGCATATACGTTAACAACACTTCGTTCTCGAACTGCAGTTGAGAGCGAGCGTATTCAGATACAATCGCGTCTCGTCGCGTCGTCGCTGCATTTTAAGAAAAGAAATTTTCAATCCACGCCGCAATGCTGCTTGTCTTTTTTGTTGATCGACTTGTATGACAGGCATTTTGCACATTTATGAGAAAAATATTAAAAAAAAACGTTATATAAATTCCTTCCATTTGCTACAAAAGTTAATATCCGAATCAAAGTGCTCGTTTTCTATGTACTCACGCTTTGAAAATGTCTTTAACGTTCTCGGATATTTTTGAAATTAAAAATCAAATGCGATTTTTTTAAAGAGCAAGAAGTTGTTTTGATTTGGAAATTAGGAGCTTGTGTTCTGTATCGAAAACATGCAGAAAAGAAATAAACTTCTTGCTGTGATGTTCAGACAGAATGTAAAAGAGTGGGAGAATTTCGCAATTTAAGGAAACGTAACGCAATGCGCGTCGCTTTGCACCGCGACGAAATATCGTCGTTGTGTGAGATTCTTTTTTTACCGGCGTGTATTGTTTCTACGACGGATGGAGATAATTCCGTGTCTATAAATAGACGCAACTGTGATGGAAGAAGTGCCTAATAAAAGCACGTTCTAGAGATCGTGCGCGTTAGAGCATGTAAAATTAAAATAACGTTATGACGCCTCAATTAATACTGACTCATGGAAAAGGTAGTTTAGTGGTCAGTTTTAACAAGCTAAGAAGAAGTTTGAATTTAAAGATGCGGGAATAATTATTTAATAAAAACAAGTAATTAGTTAATAAAAGTATTACTTTAGTACTTTTGTTTCTTATAACATGTGTACGCGCGCGCGCGCGTTTATAAAAAAATTCAATATAAAACTTTTACATTATTGCTAAAAACATTTGATTATACGTAATATCACAATTTTAAACGTTACATATCAAAATAAATATATAAAATTGAGTATGCGCAAGCATCAATTTTTTTTCTTGCGTAGAAAGTGCATTCGTACAAAGTTGCACGCTCGAAGTGATAGAAAAAATTAATATCTTTTTGCGTAAAAAATTAAAAAATTAAAAAATAATTGCGTAAAAAATTAAAAAACTTCAATATATTTTGTAATGACAAGATTTGTACTTAAAATTAAATACACAAAGTGTGTGGTTGTGTCAATCTATACACATATAACTTTATTGCGAATTATATAATTCTACATAATAGTTTCACAAGTCGCATAAAATAATACTGTTTTTTTTCTTTTTTGCATACATATTTTGTTGCGAAACGAACAACGTCATCACGTTTCGTGACCGCTGTGCGACTTCGTTGCGGATTTTATTGCGCGCGACGCACGTGCAGAGTTTATTCCAACCCTCTTGCGCGCGTGTCATCGACTTTTCTTTGCGAAGCAGTTTTGCAACATTACTAAACAACAATGTTCGACCGCGTCGTTCACAGAGGGGGTGAATCTGCCATTTGAAAGTTACGGCGCCGCTTGCAACCTGTACAAACAAACGGCCATTACGCAGCGTTATACGATAATCGTGCTTGACGTCAAATATTAAATGATTTCGCTGCGTGAATCCGGGCTGTTTAAATTGTTTGGCTTGATTGAATGATGGCCACCGCTCTAAGTTGGCCGACAACCACTTCAACGTAAATAAGACGGTACCCCATTCTGTGTGTAGGAGTTGCCTCGTTATACAGGGTGTCCGCTTGCACGAAGCGATCGTCACGTGACGGATTTTTTTATATAATTTGCAATACCCGCATGTTTTAATATTGTATATTATATATTAAAACGTAATGTTTTTAGTGTATTCAATTATAATAATACATGTGACGTATGTTTGAATATAATATAATTTTACGTACATGTAATACAGATATATTGTGTTTTATATTTTTTTTTTTTTGCTTGATATTGTATAGTTTTTTTATTTTCAATATCGATTACGATCGTTCCGATCAAATTCGCGCACTCACTCGTGCAATAAATTCAGGAGTCAGTTTTGTATTTGCACGTCTCATTCACACGTAGGCAGAAGACGAGTGTACTCGCTTCTGTCGTCATGTCGGCGTCGCGTTTTCGCGAAGCGTACGAACCGAAGCAAAAAAAATGTTATCTCGAACTAAAACATGTTACATTTTTAAGCGTGTAGCGATATTTGTAGAATATAATGAAAAGGTATGAGAGAGAGATTTCTTTCTCTGTGTTAGAGCGAATCTGTGAGAGCCACAGAGGAAGTTGTACGTTCGTGGAGAGATCAATGTGTTATGGTATAATGATCTGCGAAGAAATGGCGCGAAAAAAACGCGATTTGAGAACGAGACTGGCAAAACACAAGTTGTTGTTATATTTTATTTACGACTTAGAGAAAACAAACGCAAAGATAACACATATGTTTTTAAACATATCTATGAAGTGTGCGAAGTTATATAGCGTATATATAGGAATGTTTCGCGCGGGAAAGATCGAGTTATCGTTTGCATGTTTGTTTTGCTGCAGTACTATCAAATTATAAAAACATACATTCAACACTGGTAGCGCGACGTTTGGGCAAACATAGGTAGAACCAATGTGATACAGATTCTTGTTTTGCCCGTTCTGATTTGCTACTTCTGAATCCATTTTTTTCATCGTCTTTTTTCACACAAAGGGAAAACTACTTGTTTTTCTTTTTTTTTTTTATCTAAAATAAAAATCAATATTAAAACACAGTTTGACGTCAAAGAGCGTAATAAAAACAACGAGACGCGGCACACCGCGCTCGCAAAAAAAAAAAACAATAAATTCACGTGTGCGGAGACAGCTCGATATGTTACATATTCGTGTAAACGACGCGACAGATTTATCGGAAATGAGACACGCTTATAAGAGCGTCACAGGAAAATTTTATTGAGGTAAACAACTTTAAATCATCGCGGTTTCTTTTATTAGTCTTTTCATTTAGCGTGTCTTACGTCGTGCATGTGACTGTCATTTAACTCGACGCGTTTTTAGTCGTGATTTTAGTCGCTTTTTTCTTTTTTTTTTTTTTTTTTTTTAAGGCGGCCAGTACTGCGTGAAAAACGAAGAGAGAGAACAGAAGTGTAATCGCTCGTAATCACGCCAACTTGCATCAGTCATTTAATTAATTTTCTCAATAATAAAATAACGTGATAGATCTCTGTGTATGAGTGTTTGTGTTATCATCGCCTCTCCATCACGCATCGCTCGCGTGTGTCGTGTTACGTTCGAAGCCATTGCACTTAGATACAAGGTCCGGATAAACTAAGTCGCGTAAGATACATATATGTACGTATTGTGTACTTGCTGAATTTTGCAGAAAGGAATGAGAAAAGAGATTCTCTTCTTTCCCTCTTTTTTTACATATAAAAAAAAATTTGTCCGAACAACTGATATATTTTGTTGAAAAATATTGAAAAATTACAATTAAGCTCAGTTTTTGATTAAATAACTCGTCGTTGTGTGTAAGCAAAGCGTAGTGTTATTAATGTTAAAAAACATCACCTTTTTTTTTGTCGATTCACGCCTGACAATATAACGAAAATGTCATGGACAAGTTACATGAATACGGAACTACAGAACATATAGGATTAAAATGATAAGTTGACTAGAAATTTTTACTTAAAAAACACGAGCCTTTTTTACGATTATTTACACTAACAAATATGTTATGTGCATATAGAGTGGCAGTAATTGTAAATAATACATTTTAAAAATGCGTTGACACATCTCGTGTGCGAAGTTTCTAACATCGCCGTGTTTGTATTGGTTCAACACGTCGTGTAAAAATGTGAAATCTCATTAAAATGTAATACATAAGTAAAGGCTTATAAATGATCGATTAATTGGTTACAAATCTGGCAGTATCGTTTACAGGATTATCGATTGTCAAATTATCCGTAACAATCTTTACAAAACAATGTTAATAATCTTGAAAAAATAGTAAGAATAATCACTTTAGCAAATAATAGTAGACGCTATTAGTTTTCTTTTTCTTCACACGTTTTTTTCTTAAAAAATTTCATTTTTTGAACTTTGTCGGGAAATATATACAGAGAGAAAAAAGACGAAAGTTAAGCTTGAATTACATATGCGTATACATATATATATACATATATGTGCTATATTATATTTATATATTGGTGCCTAGTTTGGCAACAATTCGACAGATAACATGTGCTCTACTGTTCAGCATCCACAAGAATAATTTCACGTGGCTACCGCCAGATGGTGCATGCTGTACGTTAAATGAAGCGAACTAGAAGAAAAATACAGTAAGTATATACCGGCTATATGTGTGTGTATGATATATACTTTTTTTCTTAATAAAAAAAAAAAAGAAATAAAAGTGAAGCAAACTAAATAGATTTGGATTTAATGTAGTTTTTTAACTACATGTTAATGTTATATTGTTTTCTAATAAAAAAAAAAAAAACTAACGATCGCAAAGTACAAGACACACAAACAAACAAAAAAATTTATAATTTGAAATGGATTTTGAAAATCGCTATTCAAAGACGCTGCTTCAGAAGACTTTCACGATCCATGCATTGCAAAAAGTGCAATTCTTCAGCGAGCTCCTTCTGTGCGGGCTTTGTCGTCTCCGCACAGAACTATCTGAACCACAAGTCGATTCACACATGTAAACTAGATGCTCTCACTTTGGAAAGCCACTAATCGACAATAAAACAATAAAACTTCAAAATTTGTCTACATAATGTTCGAATTTCATATTCACGTCCATTTCTTCTTCTCTTCATTCTAATCGACTGCCTGGACAATAAATTAACGGCGTCATAGCGTCCCAACCGTCGATCTCCTCGTTCGACTGCACCGCTCTCTTCTGCGCGTTCAGAACCGTTGTGCTGTGCTTAGGACTACTGGGCGCGGATCTGCAGGTGATTTGAAGAATTCCCGGTGTGCCGAAGCGGAAGCTCTTGTTTCCAGGCAGAAGAAGGGACGATTCGTTGCCGAAGATCAAATTGGTTCGGAACAGCGGCGCGACATTCTTGACGTCGGACGGCAGCTCGTGTTCCATCAGTATCGGCTGAATTTCCTGATCGTAGAGCTTCTCCACGCAGGGACAAGAGTTGCTGGAGGATCGCCAGTTCTCTATGCAGGACGATCTTATCGCGCACGTCTTCGTTTTGCAAGGACTATTGTCGACTATCGATTCCAGTTGGTTGTTCACCTTCAAGCTCTTCTGATCAAGCTGATCCGAACTGGCGAATCGCAAACGCTTCGGCGACTCGCTCGAACATCTCATAAAGGTCGATCTGACGAGGGACTTGTTTTTCAGAGAACTTCGAGGTACCAGAGGATCGGCGCTTGATTTCTTACTGACTCCGTTTCGTTTGCTCGCTCGTTCTTTATTGCGCTTGATACGCAAAATCGGATCCTCTCCGACCAGCCAGTACGTCAAGCGTTCGCCTTTCCCCTTCATCGAGACCAAACCGCGCTCGACGAGGCTGAATCCACCGAGCTCGTCCAGTAGCTTCTTGGTTTCGCTGCTGCAGTGAATTTTCAGCGCTATACAAATCGAGGAAATATATTATTTTTATCGCGTTTCTTTGTCATGTAAAAACAAAAACAATATAAATTATTAATTCTCACTCACGTAACCCTGTAGATTCTAAACGACTCGCTGTATTGACTGTGTCGCCAAATAAACAGTATCGTGGCATTTTCCGGCCAACTACTCCGGAACAAACTGGGCCGGAATGTATGCCTATGCGCAGTTGCAGCTTGTCAAGCGGCCTGTGGCGAATTGTAAATTGCTTAATGGCGTCCAGAAGGCTTAAAGCCATGCTCGCAATCTCGGCAGCGTGTTGTTGTCCATTTTTTATTGGGAGGCCGCTCACCTGCGAACATCTTTCGATAAAAAAATTTTTTTTTAAATAAAAATTTACGTGTATTTTACTTACCACCATGTAAGCGTCTCCGATAGTTTCGACTTTGTAGACGTCATAGTTGTCTATTGTCGAGTCGAAGCACGTGTAGAGATCGTTTAGAAAGTCGACCACCTAAACGAATAATTTGAGAAATCGTCAATTACAAACTATCAATTTATATTTAAAAAATTGCCTTGTACATACGCAATTTCTCAATTAATGTAAAAAATTCTTACTTGTAACGGCGTGCTTTCCGCTGACATTGCCGTGAAGCCGACAATGTCGCTGAAGTAAATGGTAACGCAATCGAAACTTTCAGCCTCAACCTTGTGTCCCTTTTTGAGCTGTTCGGCCACATATCGCGGCAGCATTTCGTACAATAGTGCGTCGGTTTTCTTTTTTTCTTGAGTCAATTGATTCGTACGCTCGTCAACGAGTGCCTCCAAATTATTCGCGTATTTTTCCATCATCGCCATCATGTTGTCAAAAATATTTGCTTTCCTATTACAATATAAAAATTAACGTTGAAGAAATAAACAGCGATAACCAATAAACAAATGATTACAAGAGAGGCTCACATGCCCTTCCGCAGCGGTCTTAACTTGTTTCTAATTATCTTGAAATCGGGACGCATTTCCGGATTTTCCGCCCAACAATCTATGAGACACTCTCGAACAAAATCGAAAATGTTCTCTAATTGTTCCAATGGAGGTCTGCAATCACGAAAAGTTTTTTCAAACGCTTTTACTCAAAATTACATTTGCTAGCAGATTTTTACCTGAACGGAGATGTTCCATCTCTCGCGATTACTTTCTTCAATAATTCTGCTGCTGATAATTCCGTGACGCCGAAAGGCCCGTGTCGACCATGCAATTCGTATAGAACTATAGCGAATGAGTAAACGTCTCCTTTTTGAAAGTCGCGAAATGTCGGCTTGCCGAGTCCGGAACGCAGCAATTCAGGCGCTTTGTATAACAATCCTGACAAATTTTTATTATGTTAACACAGATAAGAAACAAAAAGCCGAAAAAAATTAAAGTAAAAGTTTTAACAAATATTGACAGTTGTTCCGGAAATCCGATGGTACAATATAAAAACAGAGAATAGGCTGTAAAAAAAATCAGCGTTTCTTTCTTACCATGATATTTTTTTATGACGTCAGAAGAATCGCATTCCGCGTCCTTCTTGAATTCATGGAGACCAAAATCCGCCAACTTTACGACCCATCGCGAATCCACCAAGCAATTCGACGTGCTCAGAGATCCGTGGTATTTTATCACCGAGTCGTGCAAATAAATCATTCCCTGCAAGACAGACAATGTCGTCATTTATGTCTCAGAAATGTTGACAAATTTTCTGACAAATGACATTGAGATTGAAAAGCGGAAAAAAAAACTTTGTAGGTGGAGCGCGCGAGAGCAATTTGCTTATTTATCAGACGAAAAGAGACGTCGTTTTGCAAGTGTTTTTAAACAATTATTAACATACTTTTATGTCTGTCTTAAAAATTATTTTATCGTTAGAAAATAAAAATCAACAGAGAGAGATTGTAACAAATGAATATCAAAATTAAAAACTAAATTCTACAAATGGGAAACAGAGAAAGAAAGTCTCTCTGTGACTATTGCGCGAAACTTCGAAAGTTCGAGCAAGTCTTGTTCGGATCATAAAAGTTTGCGAATGAAGCAAGCGTGAACAAGTTCCGAAATTGCTTTTCTCGTGTTACGGATATTTCATTTAACCTTCTCTCTCTGACGCTGTGCAAATAAAACGAAAATACAACTTCTCTTAGTAAAAAAAATATTGTCTAAATTGAAGTTTAATATAGAAGCTCTAATATACTATATTGCGTGATATAAGTATTTCTGCGGTTTTACTCACTCTAACAATGTCACCGACAAGCGACGCCATAAACATATTATCAAGTTTGATATCTTCGTTTTCGAGAATGTCCTGTAAAACAAATATTCTTTCCGCTAAAATTTGTTAGAAAGTTTAAATTACAAAAATTAATAATAATAATGTGTGTGTGTGTTATGTGTGATAGTATAAAAAACAACGTTTAGTCGAAATAATACTAATTACAATTATTAAATATAATTATAAATTACCTTCAGACTACCGCGTGCACAATATTCGACAATTATGCAAATATTAGGTGGATCGGTGCACGCTCCGATAAATGCGTTCAAATTGTCGTGTCTTAAGTCCCGCATCTAAAAAATAAATATATTTTACTATTCTTACAATTTATATTTTCGTATACACGCTGTTAGTAATTAAAATTATTAGTTTTACAAATGTTTCACCATTTTTAATTCCTTTTTCATTTCACGAGTAATTTCAATGGACTTTTTTCGGACTTTTTTCACGGCAAAAATGCGCCCCTTGTAAATGCCAACTTGCGTGTATATCGTCGAGTAACGAAAACTGTCCGCGTCAGGATTCGAACTTAGCGATACCTGGCTGGTTCGCACGATGGGCTGCGTTGCGCGCGTTGGCTTTACACAAAACATGTTTATTAGAATTATGTTTAATTGCAGAGGGGAAAGTGTGACAGAGAAAGATTAAAAAAATTTGTTATCTACTATGAAACATACTTCATGTTCATATAAATATTACGTAAGTATCATATTTTTAGCGGAAAAAATTATAACAAATGTATCTACCAAAAACACATATTTATTTACGATAAAAATCTATTATTTATATTTACTAGTTAAAATATATTGCACACATGTCACATGCAAAATAAAATATAGTCGCGAGCAATTCGGTTATCGCGTAGTCGATTTCTTGGAAAGAAAATAACGAAAGTAGATAACTTTCGGTACGAGAAAACTTCACGAGAAAAATTTTCCTTCAGAGAATATGAGCGACAGTTTATGTTGTAACAGGCAGTTTACCTTCTCTTTGGTGCATTTGGCAGGCGCCTCGTTGGCTCCCGCCGATCCGTCTGTCTGTTCCTTGATCTGCACATCTTTATAGTTCACTTTCCAAAGCAAACTGTCAAGCTCTTGCTCGTATTTTGAATTCCTATAGAGTATCAAAATGATCGCTGTGATAATGAGCAGCGACGCTCCGACAATACCACCAACAATTTCGCCTGTATAAGCTGCGGAATGAAACACAAATAGTTGACATGTAAAAAAATATTCTTTATCCTCTCACACAAGATAAATGCGGGTTTACTTTTAAACAAATTTCGGAAGTCCGAAGTGGATTACGTTCGATAGATTTTGGCGAGTTTCGATTGTAGATCGCGTAGATAAACGTTTTTTCCGCGCTTTTTGAAAGGTTTTCAAATGCGTTTTTCTCTTTTTATCGCTGCGCTGATCGGATCTTTGATTTTTGTGCGATTTGCTCCGTGTAGCTCGAGCTGCTGTCAAATGTTGTATTTTTTTTTTTTTAACAGTGCAATAGTCTACTCACAGTTACATTTTTCACCGTGATATCCACAAGGAGGCTCCGCAACAGGGGGCGAATTGCCAACGAACAACATCTCTCTTGTGAATTGAAGCTTCTGGAGATTAACATCAGAAACAAACTCAACAGCTCTTTTCAAAAATCAGGAGAGACAGTTTATTAAAAACTAAATTTGAAAAATACTTCGCTTACTGGTAAATTTGTTGTTTGCTCTTTTCCAACGAAATATGCGATCGGATAAAGTCCTATCGTTGGTCGACTATCCAGAGCGATTAAGGTGTAATTGCCCTCAGCGTCGAGGTTGTTGTCAAAATAAACGATGTAACTAAGAAACGAACAATTGACACAATTGTAACTACCAGAATAGTGAACAGTATTGCAAAGGGGATGTTTTACGAAGAGTATAAATATCAGAAATAAGTACAACAAGTATGAAAAGTTCTCGTTGTAGTCAAAAAACTGTGAAGATGTTTTAGGAAATAGCATCTAATATTTCTACTGCAATAAACGCAAAACAAAACGTGACATTTATGTTGTTTCAGATAATTATATTTAATAAATAATTGTTTCAAGACAAGATATCGTCACTTTTACGTTTTGTTTCAATTTTCATTTAATCATTGATTTTACCACACGTACCCCATGGCACTTTGATAATGCAAACCGTGAAGGGTTGAGACCATTTCCCGACCGTTGCGTGGGTCCCTGTTTTCATCAAGTGCGCGCAAAAGCGATTTTTCATAAACATGCACCGCATCGTACAGATACGCTGTCTCCGGCACGATCTGCCTTAATAACACGAAAACAAAGACTTATTATACCACAGTACGTAAAAGTTTTGTTTTTTCACAATTCACGCAAATAGCGAAACACAATTATTCTCTCATAATAAATACTCTCTATAGTCACCTGAACCACTCCGCCGATGGTCGCAAGTGGGTTCGTGAAGTTAAACGGCGGTTTCTGTCTGTATTCGTTCACCAGTCTCGTGAAATTCATGAAATTAATGGGAGCGGAGGCGACGATGCTGAAGTAACTGCGATAGGCATTCACAACGGACAGGTCTATTTTTTCCTGCCACAACCCACGCAAATACTTATCGGGGTGATTCTCGTCGTACTGCTCGATATCAACCCCGACGACAAAATATTCACCTGCGGCATTTGTAAAAAAAAATAGATATAACGCGTTCGAGAAAACTTACAGACAACTAATGTCTATCTAATGCTATATCAATGATCATTACGTGCTTTTCAATGTGCCTGATTAGTTCTTAAATATCGAAAATTTATACCTTTATCCAGAAGGTTCATTTTATCCAGCGCCATAAGAAGACCCATGTGTTCATCGCAATGTCCGAGTATTACGTATACTGGAATTACATAGTTCTTATTATGCAAATCGCATTGTACAGGCAAGACTCTGTGGCGGTTCGCGATTTATTGTATCCGGTGTTTGAGATATCGCTACCACACAAGACACGTAAGTCTTTTATTTTTAGAACTCGGTCTCTTAAATAAACGCAGTTTAAGTAGTTCGTGACTAATGAAATGGCATAGGACGATGTACGTATTTACACGTCGGGACACACATTTATGTGATATGCGGGTATTTTCTTATGCGAGTTTCATTCCGCCGTAATACAAATCGAGTAAGTGTGAGCAAACTGCGGGTAATTTATTTTAAATTATACGTATGCAAAATCATACGTAAAAGTCATATCATTTGTACAAACTGTATACAGACGCAACAAAATGTGCAAGATGGAAGCGAAAGTACTAAAAATCCGATCATTGTTAACAAAATAAAATAAAACATTTTTAAGTGAAACAATTTATTTCTACGTGCCAGAATCAAATTGAATAAATTATTAATTATTAATTTCACAAAACTGACACTACGTAATTTTATTGTTTTTTTTTTTACGTTATCTATTCAAGCATATTTAAATGTGTGATGATTTTTTTAATTTTATCACTACTTTAAATAACTCACTTCTCGTCTCACGATAAGTTTCTTTGACGTATTCGTCGAACGGATTTTTCATGTGTGTGACATAATACGGTTCGCTCCAGGTGCGAAGAAAATTCACACTAATCCCAGCATTTTGAAAAGACGATAGAATTGTCGTTGCGACTGTCGACATTTTGTTAAATTCAAATATCGTCGAGTTCATGTACATAAAAGTGACCTGACAAGGAAATTTGTTTAAATTAGTATTCAGAATACTTGCATGTAAACATTTTGCAATTTTGATTCATTTGTTAAATCATTTTCTTTCTAATTGTGCTGTGAGATCATATTATCGCACATGTACTTACTTTGGTCCAATTGAACGCCAACAGCACCGACACAACAGACTTGGAAATCTGCGTGTCGGGTGGTCTCGTTCTGGCGAATGTCGGAAACTCTTTTTTGTTCGACGTTTGATCATGAGTGCAAAACTAAAGAGAGAAAAGAGACGAAAAGATATTTAAAAACAAAGAATTTCTTTTAAAGTTTTACGTATGATTATACGTGTGTGTATGTGCTCTATCAGAGAGAGTGCAATAATTGCGCAGTTTCTTTTGTATATTTCGTATTACAATAATTTCTCATGTAAATTGTTTCTTCAAAAGTTGCATATTAAATTATCGAAATTGGAAAAAAGAGGAAAACGATTGCAAAAGCAAATGTGGAAGGAAATAAAAAAGACAATTTTGTTACAGATACGAATGTAATCGTATTAATCTCTATATTTCAAATACATCGCGTTCTGTTTTTTTTGTTGTTTTTTCACAAGTAAAAACGACGCGTGATAAAGTGAAAAAACGTAAAAAAAAACTTACGTATGAGATCATAGGGATGTTGAACGCGGCTGCCATCCTCCCTTCGTGCACGCAAGTCTCTTGTGGACCGATGAACGCGCTGACGTTTTGCCTCCAAAGATATGCCGTCATCAAAATGGATGCCTCTTCCTCGCCGTATGTTTCCGCAACGAGAAAATCTAAATTGTGTCCCCGTCTGCCAAGCTCACCAGCGTTGACCTGTTTTTTTTTTTCTTAAAGTATTTTTTTATCCCAAAACGTTTCTACGTGACTAAATTTGTAGAAAAATATAGTCTATAATAATGTTTTACAACATGTATTTAAACTGAAACAAATTTTCCTGTTCAACAGCAGGTCGATTCCGTTTTGTTTTAGCGTAAGTAGGGGATCAAAAGGAAATTTGTGGCTTTCGCGTGATATGGAAAAGCTTGAATTACATCATATCCGTTTCCGCGACACTAATTGCGGTCAATGGTATACCGCACTACAGAAGTAAGGAAAATTACTCGCCTCCTCCACTGCTAGCGTAATGGCGCCAGAGATGCGAAAACCTGGTCTTTGATACTCAAAATCACCAGGTCTGCGTTTCGACCCTGTGATATAGCCCAGAGTAAAGGTGTCCGCATCGGTGACTTTGTCATCCAGCAATATGTGGATCACCGTCAAAAGCAGACACGTCCTTTCCACATTTGCCACTGGCATGCCCGGCTGCGAAAAATGGAATGCAAAAAATATTGCTGATAGTTTTTTCAATCAAGGTTTTTGATTGGTTTACAGACGTGTTTTGAAACAAATTTTAAACACAAAAATAGACGATATATTATTTCTATTTTATTGTTTAAGAACACACAAGATAATTTTTGCATTTCTATCTAAAATGTGCGTATTGATTACAAAATTAATTACTGAGTTTGAGTTCCTAGAAATTTTCAACGCCGCACTTCATCGCTGCGTATTTTTGCAGTAAGTTGAGTACAATAATAATAATGATAATAATAATAACAACAACAACAACAACAACAACAACATATTCTTGAATGTGTAATAATTGTTTGACGGTACATATGAGTTTGCAACAAATTACGCTCACGTTCGGGTTTAATCCAACAAGTAATTTACGAAACACTTTCAGCCAGCAGCTTCTGCTAACTCTGGCGGTAAAATCGATTATGGCAACGATAGTTTGTCTTTCGTTTACTATGGGTACGCGTTGGTAAGAGCATGTGTTTGCGGGTGGCCGCTTCTAATACGGGTAATGGATGAAACCAGTAAGCTCCGCGGGATTGCAATAGAATCCATCAATCTCCCATGGTGTACCCAACTTCCTCTTCCTCAACATTCTCGCCACGTCGTTGCAACAGACACTCGGAACTTTCTTAATGACGTCACACACGAGAGATTACTTTTATGGAAGCAAACCCGCTTGCTCTCAACATAAACCGTCGATTCTCTTACATCTCACAATTGTTGTAATATAAAAGTGTGTACATTTATCGTTTCGATATATGTACGTATTCGGATTTACTCGTTGTCGTCATTTACTCGCATCATGGAACAACACGCGCACGTGTCTTCGATGTGTCCATCATATAAAAAAAAATCGATTCTAGCCCGTTCCCGCACGGAAGTACGTGTCTTTGTAAGCTAACTATTAATAGCGATCTATTTTCACAATACGTCAAAGACGCGATCGTTGACCAAACCACTTGGGTTGGTTCGCGAGACAGTTGCGTAAGCGGCAACCAAGGCCGACACATAGCTTACCAAGAGAGACACCAAAGCAGAATTTCGCGGTCTCCTGACGGTTGCATAAAAGAGCTTACGGTGTCTCGTGTTGAGTCACACCGGCTGATTGATAACCCCTCGGCGAAGCAACCGCAATCGCGAGACGTGGGTGGGTAATCGTTTACACGACACCCAAGCAGCCGTGGAAATGCCGAGCACGCGTGAGCGGATAGAATTTGCACTTTGATGTCGCCGATTCGCTTCTGTTTTGCGATATTTTATATACACTCAACGCAAGAGAACAAAAAGACCGATCAGGGTCTAACGCGCGTGATAAAAAAAAAAAAAAACGTGGGATAAAAGATCGACGCGAGATCGAAAGTATATATTCGAGAGGAGAGTGCGTTCTACATGTGTATTAAGTATTTGTCACGAGTTATATACACGTTCGTCCAAAAGAAATCGACCAATTAACCCTTGATTGATCGTTTTCTCTTAAATTATCCGCCATGTCGCTTTCACTGTTTATGATTGTGCCGTCAGTTGTATGTACATTTCTTTCTAATGAAAAAAACAAACTTTTGATGTTACTTATTTGTAGGTTAATTATTCGCGAAAGCGCACGTGTGCGTGTAATAATTCACGCGGTGAAATCTTAAATAAAAAATCCGGACGAAATTACGCGTCAGATTTAACTGCCAGGTGTAAATTATCTTTTTTGTTCTTTGACAAAAACAATGTTTGTGTCTTTATTATAGTATATGTAGTTATCAAAAATTGACAGTCTCGAATAAAATCGCGATATATATCGTGCAAATCGGCTCAATACGAAATCATAATCGTACCGATATTGTTTCACGCAGTGATAAAAAAAAAAAAAACAAAGCTGTGTTGTTTATAAATAGATGTGTTCACGTTTTGCGTATTGCCTTTTGCGCTATTATTATTATTATTATTATTATTTGATAAAGTCTTTGATATTGAGATTTAATCCTGTACAATTTTCTTTTCCACCTTAAAAAGTGTTCCACACGCAACGAAAGTTCAACGTAATATTACATGTTTCACATGTCCTCAATGTTGTTTTCTTCTCCGGTGACAAACTACGGGGATCTGTCGTCGCTTTAATCTCACGTTGTCTGTCGTAAGATTTTTGACAGTCATTTCTCGTCCCGCAACGCAATCCAGGCTCGTATATACTCAATTAACAACGCAATTAACAACGAGCAGCGGCGGACGTTGATGTAATGCAATTATCTGATTCGAGCGATGCATCTTGCATGATTTATTCGTTCATTGTATTTACGACGATCGCGCGTTTTTAGCGACATTGACATATAATTTGGCAATTCCTCTCGAACGGAGGATTAATGTGATATTAATGTGTATTTAACATCATATATCACTCTCGAACGGATCGCAATTAGTAAGAGTAATTTTAGAGATCGATCGCAATTTGTATAAGATAAATTTTCTTATTTTATAATTAGTATTCTTTCTTTATTATTGTGTCTTTTACTTGATGATTGATGTAGCGACTGAGGCTGCGGCAGACATAAATTGTTTATTTATTAAATATATTTGATGGCGACTTTGCAGTTTTGCAAAAACTTAGCTTGCGTTTCATTGTAAAAGGTGAATAAACAAATACAAATAAGCAAATAAACGAGAAATTGCAAATTTATATGTAATCGGATGTAAAAGATAGGACACGTGTTAAAAATCGATCTCTGCGGCCGCGTCCAATGTTTATCCAACAGAATTGAAATCTATTTTAATTCAACGCGCGCGCGTGTTTCTCGAGTTGTAAAAGAAGAACCAAGTGTGTTGTGGTGACAGAAATGTCACATATTTGGCGCGCATTTGCGCGCATCGAGACGCGAATGCGCTCCGGGGCGGATAGAGAAACTTGCCCGGAGGGGATGACTGCGAGAGGTTTTTAACTCCGATTTACATTTTGTTGCGAAACCGGACGAGCGCGACGAGAGAACGCAACGAGTCGTTAGCAATCACGCCCGGGGTTTTCCCGAACTCGACATTTTGACAGCAAGTCCGACAGCTCGCAAAATTCGTGACGCTAATTACGGTTGACTAATCCAGTCTGCGAGCGATTTTTTATCTCAACGTGACGGCTGGCTGTAAGTTACGTCGCGCAAGAAAAAGAGCGTGCGATTAATCGCGTTTATGCGTTTTACTTCTCAATCTGACCCGCTCGTGATTTACGACAGCAACTTCTCTCCCCGCGCACAGAGTGTCACGGAACATTTATAAAATCTTTTTATAATCTTTTTATTTATAAATCTTTCTCTTCCAAGAGAATGTAACACGCAAAATAGGAAGAGACGTATTTCTCTAAACACTGATCAATATAATAAGTAATCAGTTTGTTACGCGCAACAAACGCACACATCCACGCAGGCGATCGAACTTATAAATTTGTCAACTTGAGTCGTTCGTTAAAAACGTGAATCGTCATCGGAACATCCTCTTGTGAAAAAATCGCATATATGGAACGAACTGGACTGAACGATCAGTTCCGTATTTCTCTCTCGGCAACAATCGCGGTGTCTGTAAATCATAGTCTCTTATCTCTTCTTTTCTCGTCGTTAAAAAGAAATCGTGACAGGCGTATCGAGATCGAGGCCGTAAACGAGATATATCTTAATATTGCACTAAAGAAACTTATTTTATTGCGACGCCGAACAATCGCCCGGTTTCATTCGTATTGCCAATTCGGCTACCATCAGGCGGAGTTAATCTTCGTCGATCCGCAGAGATCCCGCACGTTATGCCCACAATTTCAGGCTGTGTGCATTTAATGAACCGCTCATTAGGGCGAATACGAGAGCGGCAGTTAAACGACCGAAAGTGTATACTCTGCTACGCGAGCTGTAAACAACGAGCGGAGATGTGACAAACTTTTTATATAAAATAAATAAATCAACTAATTAATTGTAACTCGATGCGAATCTACTTGAATGGTTATTTTGCGACAAAAAAATGTACAATTTTTTAAAGATATTAAACAATAATTTTCTCAACAAAAACAGTCGCAAAACTTACAAGAACTAAAACAAATTGAAGATAAGCGCAAATGTGTACAGGTAGGCACGAGTGAGCGATATTTAAATTCCGCTTGACCTAGATTTCAATTAGACGCAATTATCACGCCGGAATTGTATAAATAAACATGCTTCCTCTCTGGGCAACTACACTTATCGTAAACGCATATCATAATTACACTCGGTTTAGAATTAATTTCGTTCCCATACAGAAACTAATTACTATAATGTAAAGATTTATGAGAAACTTTTGTGTAAAATATTTTTTATGTATTAAGTACAATCTCTCTCTCGTGTTATATTATCTCTCGTTTTCTCGTAATGCGCTTCTGAGTGCAACAGAGAGATGTGTTCCGCGTTATCGTTAATTGGTGAACAAATTATCTTCGAAAATTTGCAACTGAACAACGCCGCAGCGTATAAAGGTCGCGAGAGAAAGTAATGTAACGTGTGTGCGCTGTTTTTATTACTATTTCTTTCTTTCTTGCGGTTCGCGCGCGGATATTCTTCAAGTGCATTGCAATTCGGTATAGGCGCTTGCGCGCACAGAAACGTCATCATCGCGGCACATGTCGTACTGCCGTTCTTACCGTTGCATGTATGAAACGCGCGTAGAATGCGCATGTGCTATTAACTGCGTTGCTATCGGTTTTTCGAAAAGAAGAAAATGATCACACGTACACGTGACAAAATTAAACGGGAGAAAAAAAATCCAAAAGAGAGTGAAAGTTCTCTAGAACATTCACAAACGTGCGAACTGCACGTGCGTTCACTATGTTGTGGGAAACAAATTATGAGGAAATCTTTGACATTGACAAATGTGACTCACCACGTTCATGACTAGCTTTAGCTTTCGAGAAAGGTGATCTCGAATCTGTGTCACATAGAGTGTTACATAGAGGATTTTAGGCACGCCTCTCTACGCGTTGCGTCAACGTTGCGCACCGATCTCCAGGCTATGCCTCCAATTTCTACCCGGTGTCGATTTTCTAATTAGTCCCCACGCCAATCTGCATCGCAGAATAACAGCAATAAATTAAGACGAGCGCTATTAGCGATAACGAAGTGAATATATCAATGATAGAATAATTTATAGTAGATATATAACGTTCGCACCTTGGTCGCGCGCGCGAGCCTATATGTATATATATATATATATATATATATATATAAGCAACTTGTTGCGTTCGAAAATATGTGACCTAACTAGAAGAATTTTTGCCAAATTAATTAGTTAAAAAAAACAAAATTATTAATTATTTCTTAAGTTACATTTTAAATGAGCATTAATATTTTTGCACATAAAAAATGATAACGTATTGATTATCGTTAGAGGTTGAAATTCTTGTTTGTGTGAATTTTCCTTTACAGCGCGCAAACGGTCGATTTTAAAATATTATTGCAATTTTTCGTTACACGCGAAAACTTCTTCGTGATTTATTGGTGTAATTTTTTCGTTGGCGCCACTTCTGTCAAAAGTCATTAGCAACCTGCCGGATATCTCAAGTATGCACCTTGCATTCATTTTTAATCTCGCGTGTCGCATGCGGTTCCCGATCTCTTCTGCGGCGTATCGTCCGCCAGACCAATCATCGTATATATCACACACACTTTGTCTTTTGTTTTTTTGTTTTTTTTATTTCCGTTGAATGAAACTAGAGAACGCACGTGCGAAAGAGTTCTCGCTTTCACACTATCTTCGAACTTAACTTTAACGTTTCCGACAGCTCGTAAAATGTATATTTCCGGCTTTTCTGTAGAAATGTTGGTTGGTTGCTGACTAAATAAACAGAATCACACAAGATCGATGGGTTTGCTCTGAGAGTTCGAGTACAGCCTTTGTTCGCGATTCATCGGTTTCTAATTTTGCAATTATATAAATAGAAATATAAAAAAATATGAAAAAATAAGAAATATTATTGTAATAATAAAAGAGAAATTTATTTCAATTTTTACTGGACTCTAATTAAGTAAAAACTTATTCCGGCAACCGTTTGTAACGTACAGATGTATCTTACCTCGCCTTTCGTCGTACAAGTTTATTATCAGACGCGGTAATGCACGGACGATATTCCACAGTTGCAGAAGACGGCTCTTTATTTTCAATTACTCGCGCCTCATCTCTGGAATACTTCTCCGTCTCATTTGTTCCGGTAGTTTTAACAATCAGCAACGAAGCAGGTGATCGTGTAACAGAACGAAGAGATTCACAAAGACGAGAAATTTTCTTCTCGTCTCGCTTGTTTCTCACTCTACACTGTGCAATTCTAAATTCTCGAATCTCAAGCTTTGCGTTTCTTTTTTCTTTTGAAGCTGATTTCTAAAAGTCTTTCGATTGCAATTTAAAATGCATCAAACGTATCGTTACACAGCGAGATCCCGTCAAGAAAAGCCAGAGTTTGCAACTTGACTTGAAAGATCTGTTTTACAGTGTCGCAAATATTTTTAACGACAAGCGATTGTTAAAGACAATCTTTTTTTTCTTAAATGAAAACTAACTAACGGAATGTTTTTTTTTTTTTAAATTCACAATGTAATCGGCAGTGTTTCGTACAAAGAGAGAGAAAGAACAAACTTGTCGACGTGGGAACAACAACCAACAGTGATTGAAGGTGCGCGCGGCCAGACTGAATCCTCTCGGTCCTCTTTCCTTCGCACGTTGCCGGTCGTCGTCGTCGCCGTCGTCGTCGCCGCCACCGTCGCTGTCGCCGCCGTCGTTGTTCCATTCACACTCTTCCGACGACGTTTCCCAATCGCTTTCTAAGGCGCATGAGCACGATTCGCGAACAGACAGTTTAGGGCAAGAACCCCGCGGGAACATCGAGTCGTTTCAAGCCGGTAACGTACGATGCTTATTTGCGGTAAAGACGCGCTTTCGTGAACGGAATAAAATACAAGAATAAACTGAGTGATATATATTGCGATAACACTTATGCTAACATAGGTTTTGCTAGGCTGACGTAAATGCGTCCCGCATTATTGCGTGATGTAACTATAAAAGAGAAATTGGTCTTTTTACTGATTTTTATCAGTATCGTATATTAATTCTCTCGTACATTTCAATGAGCGCAATAACTTTCTTGTGAGAATAAGTAAATTATTTTTATAAATTTTGCTCTCTTTAATTTTCACGCACATAGTACTTTAGAGATATAAATCTCACAAATCTCCGAAGAAAAACATGTTGCACAGACGATATACATTTTGTTTACAAAAAAGAATCTATTTGCAAAGTTTTTGATTGTTAAATGCAGCAAGAAAAAATTTCTACCGTTTGCATTTTACGCTTTTTTATGTATAAGTCGAGACATCTGCTTTTCGAAAAAAAACGATGAGATTTACACTTCGGTCATCGAATAATAAAGCCATTCCACTCTGCGACGTGCAAGACACTTGTCGGCAGCGTCAGCTTATTTTTATCACGAGCGAGCATATACGCGAGAACAAAATCAGAAAAAAAATTGTTTGAAAGTATGACGCGACGTGACATCTTCGTGAGCAACCAATCTTGAAAAAGCTACCCCTTACTAGAAATACGGACGTAACGCTGCTCATTCTCTCGAGCTGGAATGGCACCCCTTATTTTTGCGCCGGCGAATTGACGATAGAAAACATCAAATACATAGAAAAGATTGCGCAAGACGCAATAAGCGGACCGAGAAGATTTACTCGAACGAAGTTAGTTGTCTCAGTTGGAAACTTTTTCGGAAAATCTTTTGCACGCGCGATATGGATTGCCGCGGAGTAGAAAGCAGAAAAATATAAATTGCTAAATAAGTGAAAGAAATGTATCAAATCTCTTTTATCGTTGTATTCAAAAAGAAATTTAAAATATATACGATTTTTCGGGTATCAGAGTAAAATAAAATAAAACTGTCTATATCAAATGAAAACTATGTACAGAAACAATTTTATAACATAAAAATCAATTTTATATCTTCAAAATATATACAATAAATAGTTTTGTATAAAATAAACTCTCACAAAAAAGAGAGTGTCTCTTGTGTATGTGTGTAGTAGAAATTAAATTTTTTAAATTGAAAACACACAATATCAAATCTGTAAAATCGAAAGATATAAATGTCAAAAATAAAAAATAAACTATAAAACACTATAAAACAAAAACTTGAATGTTATATGTTTTTATCTCTAAATACAAAATACATGTATATTAAATGTACATATATATGTATTTTTTAAAATTATCGTATGTTTTTCCAGCAGCAAAAAGAAGAATTATTCTTGGTTTTGTTGTAAATATTTAAAAAATAACTGATGCCTTTCTGCTGTTTCCCTCAGGCATGCAAACTTCCGCTTGCGTTAGTTGATAGATCGAAAGAAGGTTAAAATCGCAAACCGACTGCGACTACATTCTTGATGGCGAGTTAACGTGAAGTGCCCGTGAGCGCGTAACCCTCTTTTTCTTGTATACCGGACGATTAAGCGTTACGCAAGTTCGTAAGAACGCGCGGAACTCGCACGTGACTTGCTTCAGCGAACGATCACATTCGACATACAAATCGGAAGGCCACGTTGCTTCGTTGAAATTTCTTTCAAGGGCTCCCTTGAGATTGACATTTCTCCAAAGAAGGACAGCACGACAGTGATCGACACAAAGAACAGTTAACTTGATACTTACTTTCGTCGACTAAAAAAAACGCATTTAATCTTTATCGAAGGCATCTAAACACTTCAAGAAGACATTTTTTAAATTTATTTTTATTATTATTTTATTATTGTTAGCAAATGTCAAATATGCACTCTGTGTTGTTTAAAATAAATCTAAAACTAATTTAACTGCTGTTTAAACTCTTAAAATAGGATTATTTTCTTTTATATTTTAATTGTGTTACACCCAATATTATATGTAAGATATAATCTCTTTTATTATAACTTGTTTATTTTTTCTGAGATTAAATTACTTCAATGAGCAGATAATGCGCGCAGACGGAAAATGGTCAAAGAGTAAATGTGTTATGAATTAAAGAAACACACACGCAACGAAAAGATTGCAATTGCATTTATTTTTTTTATTTTTATCTCAAGTAATTTGGTACTCATATGTACGCGCGCCCAAATATTACATTTCCCGTGAGGTCGGAGAGATTGCGTTTCATTAAAGCTAAACGCACGAAGAGCGTTTTCCACTCAAATGAAAATTATCTCGCGAGATGCATTTTCATTTAATTTCATTTACGTTGCTTTCGTTTATTTTCACCGAGCATTTTGCATGTGTTAAATATGCATATAGTTTAGTTTACAAACGCGTTGTCTTCAACACAATCAGATTGCGCGAGCAATCTAACATTCGAATTAAACATTGAAACAGGGTGCCGCGCGATGTGATTGTTTTCAGTCGAAATTTAATTGAAAGCGCGAGAAGAAGATCCCGATTGAATGGCATCGGTAATTTCAACATTTTTGTAATTCTTTGCACGAAACTTCTTCATACAGTAAAAGTACTTTTTTTCTACGAACAATTAAAACAAAAAAAACTTCTATGTAAAGTGTCAGAACCGTGTTTTTTACCTCATGTTCTCTCAAATACGTTACTATCTGCAGTCCCAAATCTCACATTCGAAGCTCAATTATTTGCGCGACCTAGTTTTTCGCGCACGCGGTTAATTAAATCTTTTTAAACCCAAATCTTTTTGTGTCGGCTACATAGATGAGAATCAACTTACAAAGGTGAGGTCGAAACGCTCGCTTTATGCCATTTCACGCGCATATTTTCGTCTGTCGGTTTGAAAAACAAAAAAGTAAAACAAAAAGACAACAGGGAACTTCCAAATAATCGATAAAGGTTTCAAGCTAACGCGTTGATGATTATCATTATTTAACGGCAATACAATCATCATACGGAAAATGTACAAGCGCCGGAACAAGTTCCACGTACATATTAATATCTGGGGCGTGTGTTAATTTTAGAGAATGGCGTCTTTTTTTGGCAGCTGTCTCTTTGTGAGTTTTGCGTATACGCTCAATCACGACCTTCAACTTCATTCTGTCGCATCGTAAAAATTATTTGGCGTAATTACGCTTTGACGCGACACCGCCGCCGCCGCGCCGAAACGCGCGGATGCTTCCTTTTTTTTTTTTGTTTTAAAAATGGAAATGACAGAGAGTTTTTTAACCAACATCCCTTTCGTGCTTCGCTCTAAAAAGAAATCAAATATGCAAATTTATATAACTTTTAAAAGTAAAAATAAATGTCACACGAGTAATAACAAAAATGTATGAATATATTAATAAACAATTGTGGAAAATTATATAATATAATTTATATGAAAATCATAAAAAGGGTGCTAATTAGTTTTGTAGCGCTGCTAAATATTACAAGACAAAAGATCGCGAAAAATCTGCTTATGCGCACGTACGTCTCATATACACACTTTACCCGATTTCTCTTCCGAGCTTTAAAAAAAAACCTACCTACAATTTTATTTCACTTAATTTATCACAAGCGGTAATAAAAGAATTATCGATCGGTTTTTTGCCGTTCGTGCGTCTCAATAGGTCTCATTACTTGTTGTAATGATATTTATTGTAAATAAGATTTCTCCCCGTCGATCAACCGTAATGTTCTTTTCGCATAACGTGATGTCGATGACGAAATAGACGCAACCCGATTTACTGAGCAGAAAAAAAAAAATGCAATCTGATAAATACGGGTATACGTGCGATCGTACCGTGTTCAGCGCTTGTGCGGCAATGCCCGATGCATTCAAATCGCCATGTTTTTTCGATGACTTGTAATTATGGCAATTATCGGCGTGCGATCGCGTGTTTCGTGATGCTTCATACATAAATTATGCGAGATTTTAAATACGTGTTCGCGTAAAGTGAGAAATAAAAAGTTTGTGTCGCGCTCTATTAAAAAATATGTTTTCTTTCGACACACAATTATTTTGTGAAAATAAACAGTGTTACTGTCTACATGAATACATTGTTAAGTGAAATACATATGCAAAATATTTTGTGAAAATTAATCAATCCACGTGACTTACATTTACTCGGATTAACTTGTGATCAGAAATGTGAAAGTGAGAGTAAAAATATAAAGATTCTCAAGAGAAAGAAGTGCATATCGATTTTATACTCGTGCGACTACCGACTATTGATAATTCACGTTTATTTCATAAGAAATCAAGAAAAAACATATTGTTAATAAAAACATTTCCATAAGATATATTATGTACAAATATAGAATATAAACATATGGTTTAAGTATTAATTTCTATGCATAATTATTTAATTTAGCAGCTAAAGAAATAAATGTTTTATTAAAATAGAAATACAAGTAAGAAATAGAATTACAAGTAACGTGTTGGATATGTTTGTTAACGTATAACGTTATGTCACAAAATTTATGACGCAAATTTACACTCTCTTCAATATTAAAAATTAACAACAAACAATTATAATTTAACATAAAGACAATTGATGATTAAAATATTGCGAGATAAAAATGTCATGTAAAAAAACTTATTATATAAAA